TGAAATACAGGATATCCTAGTTTGGGAGTCAAAGCGCCGTTAAATGTGTAACTAAGTGTTCAATAAATCACATTTATTATTATTATTTAAAGCGAAGTTGAGTGGTTAGTACATGTGTTAGAAGCTCAATTAAAGCATTTGCTAACTTCAACATTACAATTTCAACGGATCGATCAATCACAAGTTGTCAATTTATAATGACATGATATGGGTGTTATACAATTTGAGAATATGCTATGATATACAGCTGTATTTTCCTCATAGTTAAGAACGTTGTTTGTAATTAAGTTGGTTATATTAGCGAATGTCTTGAGAAGTGTATTGCCGAGGTCTCGTTAGGCGATTTATTTGCAATGGTTCGCGAGTGAAGAAAAAAACAGTTACCTGTAAGCGCATTCGTATTTGTTACTTTTGAAAGTGAAAGTGTTTCGCGCGTACACGAATAATGATTGTTTTATTATGTTTTTTGTTGTGACTCTTTGTTGGTCGAAATTTTTGCACAACATTTCCCAATATACGATAAAATCTGGCAATCGGTTATATTTATCATATTTTACAATAAGTTATAGTGTTAATTATAACAATAATATTTCGGAACATATTTTTACACAACTCTGTCTAGTTCCAAACTAAGCAAGGCACTAATGTACTAAGGGTATTAGGTAACTGATAAACATAATTAAACGTACTTTTCTTTTGTCAATTAATATATAGTACCTGGAGGACCGAGCTTTGCTCGGTTTGTTTGTTTTTTTGGTAAATCGTGTATTTTGAAAATAACATTTAGATACAAATTACTGAGTAATGAAAAAATGAACATATGAACTGGTGTTTTTCACAAAAGAAAGAACTTTAAAAAAAAGGGAAAAAAATAACAAAATCATCTGGATCGACAAAAAATAAAAAATAAAGAAAGCAATGATCTGGAATCGAAAAAAAAAATAGTACATAAGTATATATAAGAATTGCTCGATTAAGGATAAAATTACAGATATATAAAAGCACTATGTTCAGCACTCGAGGTAATATTTCGAGTTTCGGAATAAGCTTGAATGGTCTCAGAATGTGTATTGTAATGTAATGCAATTGGTACCCAACCTTAACTTTACCTTAACTTTTTATATAATAACATTTGACCCCTATTTTGTTTTGTTTACTTGAAGAACCTATACATATCCTACCTACATATATAAGCATGAGGCGGTCGAGCTTTGTTTGTCTCGCACAAAATTTATCGATGAACATCTGTAACGAGAAATTGCCCTTACAAATTTCAGGACTAATAATTTATTTTTGTGGTAGCCTTTGCCCTCGAGAGAAAACTTAAATTATGAATTCAAGTGAGGTTTTATATGGTAGAACGCTAGATTGAACCAAGCATTGGCAAAGGGCAATAAAGAACGCATATATTGTCGAGATTTTCGTGCCGTGAGGTCATCGACCGCTTAGCTAGATTGTTAAATTATCTGGATGCGTTAGTTCTATCTTACTCATCTGATTACTAATAACTTCTACTCATCTGTTAATCGCCGAAATTTTTGAAGGAGTTTCATCCGCTAGGTCAGTTACACTTAATATGACGGTGATTAATGAAGGTTGTTCACCACGTTATCTAGTTTCTTACATTAATCTAATTTGCATCATCTGTGTGGGGAATCTGAATATCAAACAGCTTTGGAACTCTTCTTCATTCGGTGCATTCGTAAAATTGAATACTTTCCATCATTTCATTATAATCACATTCTTCATCTGTTCCGGATAAACTTGTCCACTTGCCGCTCATAGAAAAATGTTCAGTTTTATATTCGACGTTATGATTTGCGGGCATTATGGAACTCGTTTATATCTGAAGAAGAAGAAGAAGAAGAAGAAACGTTTATTCACGGTCTAAGCACAATAGAAACAAAGAACACTTAAAAATAATAATGTAACTACACATTATGTAAAATAATATTAGAATAACTTAAAATAAATGTAAACATAACAAAAAAACTAAAAAAAAAAAAAAATAACTGTGTAGCAGCATAAGACCGTGAAACGGACGGGACTCGGTAAAAGTCGAGATACAGTAACTAAGATTCGTTCTGATCCCGACGCCGGTTTTCAGTCCGCCCGCACTTCGAGACAACTCGGACGGCTGCGTCAGCGCACTTGTAATAACATACCTACAACGCAGTATAGCGATAATTAAATTATTTTTGTTTGAACCTTTAAATTATATAGACAGTGGATATCATTCGTCTGAAGAGGTAAGTAAAAATTAGAACTAATGTTTTCTTATTTGATATTGGTGTCAGCTGCTTTTTTTCCATTTTGGTTTTAGGTTACCAAGATTTATCCCTACTCTGTGGCACTGTGACATTTACCGATCGAGCAGTGGACACGTGACTTAATTTGAAACGTAAAATGCGAGACAGACCTCGTTGCGCGCTGGCCACATGATAAAGGTAACAAAATGACTGTCTTATAAGTATATAAATTATGATATACGTTTATAAAAAAAATATTATGTATATATATTATATTAAATTATATTGTATCAAATCATATTACATTGTATTTTATTATATTATATTATAGCGTATAATTAAGCTGATAAGAATTAGAATTAAACGGCAGCATTTTTTTGTTCTACAAGTAGATATAATTTGTACTTGTTTTTAAAACCAGTTATTGTTTTCAGGTCGCGCAAGGGAGGCGGGAGGTTGTTCCAGCACTTAGTGGCATTGTATTTGAAACTGCCTCTGAAAGCGGCCGAACGGTAGAAAGGATAAACTAATTTATAATTAGATGATCTCGTATTATACATCTCATTTTGATCTTTAGCCCAAATCAACTTATTGTAAAGATATAACGGCTCTTTGTTTCTAATAGTTCCAAATAAAAGTGAGGCGAAGTGTAGTCGTCTGCGGAGGTCCATCTTTAGGATATTTGCGTTATTGATAAAAGGCGTTACATGTGCACGTGGAGGTATATTAAAACAGAAACGTGCACAGGCGTTCTGTACCCTCTGTATTATTTGCCTTGTTCGTGATAACAGACGTGGGCCTAAGAGAGAATACGCGTAATTGAATTTTGAGAGAACGAGAGATTCGCATAGATTGATACGTAAGGAAACACTTAGGTAATCACGAATACGATAGAGTACTTTCAACCTGTAAAAGCAGTTACGTGCAATACCCATAATATGCTTCTCAAAACGCAGCTGGTCGTCCATTATTACCCCCAAATTTCTGACTTCCGCCACTCTTACAATGGATTCGTTGTTTACGGTAATGGCAGGGTGACTTAATATGTTCTTCTTTATTTGATTTGGCGATCCTAGAATCATATACTGAGATTTATTCGGATTGAGAACTAGTGCATTACGCTCTGACCATAAAGATATCCGACTTAAGTCCAAATTTAACTTTGCTACAACTGAGTGAACATCACGAGGCTTAAATGAAATATATATCTGTAAATCGTCAGCGTACATGTGATACTTACAAAACTCAATATTTTTAATAAGATCTGCACTATATATTATAAAAAGTAACGGACCTAAGATGGATCCCTGTGGTACACCTCGGTCTACAAGTCGCTCTCCAGAGATACTTTTGTCCCTTTCACTTGAGTGCATTTCAACCCGTTGTGACCTATTTTCTAAGTAACTGGCAAACCAATGAGTTGCACTTCTACTAATTCCATAAAATCTCTTTATTGCTATAACATTTAGCACAATCTCAATGATAATTTATCATCAAAATGATAATACTTCTGTTGATATTCATGAGTATTCCATCTTATAATGGGAATTACGGTGGTAGGGCCACGCGGCAGCTTCTGCAATTGCATGAATGGGCAGGCTCGTCCGGGTAAGTACCACGACCTCACAGAAGACCGGCGTAAAGTGGAAGTATAATACTTTCGCGTTTCGTCCGGTGAGTGAGGTGGCCGGAGCGGCGGTATTCACTTATCACCAGGTGAACCGTCTGCTCGCTTGGCAACTTTTCACATAAAAAAAATATTGAATACCTTCACTGGTATGATTGGGGAGTTTTATTATTTATGCTTTGGTGTGTATTAAGGCCATTTATTGATGAAAATATTCTCACCACGTATTTTCTTCTTGCACTTACTTAGTCGTACTTTGAACGGAGAATGGAACTAGGGAATACACGATATTTCATAAATGGATTTGTTCATTAATAGTTTGAGCAAATGACACTGCTAGATGAATTCAATATCAAAATAAATTAATCCACTGTCTGGAATGGAACCAGCGCATTTTGGATTACGCTTCCATGCGGTCTAGTAACTAATCTAAGAGGCCGACATACTCACCACGAGAAATTCTTGACATTTTATCTAATTTGCTTTATTTCAATTTGTAGCAAGTTATCAAATATGATTTTTTTAAATTAATGAGTCTTTTGTTATATTAAATTTTTACAATAACTTTTTTGAAAGCGAGATTTCATGTGTCATGAAATACACGAGCTACATGAAATTATTGACAAATATTTGCGAGACTAGCACTAAAGAGGTAACATATTAAAAATCAAATGTATAAATATAATAACCTAATATATACAATATATAACCTAAAAAAAGGAAAATTACAACAAATAATAAAAAATCACAGACGGAATTATTTTATAAACTTTAAACACTTGATACTTATACGCGTTCTTAAGAAATAGGGTCTTGAGGTCTTGACAGAGAGACAGACAGAGAGGCGGAGGAGGATTTAATAAAAACAAAAGTAAAACAACATGCGGCCCTTTTTCCTTTTCAGGTACGAAACCCTAATACCATAAGAACTGATTACTGGTAAGTTATGCTTGAGACACTTGAATGCGATACATTTTAAATAGGAGTGTGACGTAGACCTTGTATTTTCAGGTAATAATTTACAGTACCGTAGCAGTCGGCTATCAAACACAACGTTTGAGGGATTTTTACGACATATTTACAGGCAGTCTCTAGAAATATATACTAAGACATCCTGCCCAGAAATGGCTAAAGGAGAAGACTTAAAGCTGTTTTTGAAACAGGTTAGACTTTTTGACGTTATATTGATTATGCATTTAAGTTCAAAGGATTGTAAAACATAAATCTTGCACTATAAGATATAGTATAAGGTAAAAGAGAATATGGTCTAATTTCAACTTAAGGTTTGTGGAAGTCCCTAATATCGAAGTTCCCACTAAAGGCCCATGTTCCAACTTCCTTATCGGTTCGTCCTTTCGATAGGAATCCTTCGTAAGCCTCGGCTCGATTGTGGCCTTCGCAGGGCTCATTTCTCAGGGTGGTAGGACATTAGAATCATCCACATTGTGCCACGTCGGTGCAATTGACTAGGTACTTTTCTTGCGCCATTTGTGGGGCCGCAATTAATACCACATCCGTCACACGGGAACCTGGATATCAAGGAAGGGTTGCGTGCGTAGGCTAGTCTCCTGTGCCCTGGTCCCCGGTGGCTGATTTCCATAGTGGCAGTTACCCTTTCTCTCTCCGAATTTCATTTTCGGGTCATTATGACCTCGCAAAACGCAACCCCACGAGCTCTCGCTGTCCATCGTAGTATGAACCACGTTCGTCGATTTAAAAAACTACTTATATTATGTATACTATATTATCATAAATCTTAGAGAGGAGTTTAACGTTTTTAGTCGTAAAAAGTCTGGATTTGAACGATTAAATGCATATAGCAATTATCTACAGGTCATCATAACGTTATTGGCCTATAATCTCATAACCTTATTTAAAAATATAGCTAGATAAAGATACCCTTAACCTGCTCTTAATTTCTAATCGCTTATCGGTGGTTTTTCAGCTCTTGGTCATCAGTGGGGTATGGACCACATATTTTATGTATGGTCTTTGCATAGGGTCACCAACGGTACTCATTCCCCAAAAAAGGCGCGAGGTACATTCAAACGACACTATGAGTGAGGATATGGCATCATGGCTATGTAAGATTCGCTTTCGGCATGATTCAATTATTCTTATTTTCCCATGATAACCTTCAAAAGCTTTTCTTTTATTCTTTCAGCTAGTGTCCACGGTTATAGTGGAGCTCCAGGAGCGATTGTCTTCAGTATAGTGGCACTATATTTAGGAAGGAAAAATCTGTTTCTTCCTTTAAGTTTTTGCTTATTAGGAAGTTTCCTAGCGTTTTATTTTAGTGGATCTTCGGTTCATATTTTGACCAGTGAAATAATACTTGGTTTTTTTGTTTCCGGGCAATTAACAATATCAATGTTTGTGGCCACGGAGTATATATCACCAAAGTACCGTGGAGTGTTCTTGGCTTTAAAAGGACCTTCATTTTTTTGGGGTATTTGGGTCGCCAACACTATTGGAACATTTTTCCATTGGAAAAAAATTGCTTTATTGGGAGTTGTATGTTCCGTATACACAACAATTATAGTAATATTTTGGCCAGAATCACCATATTGGTTGGCGAGCAGAGGACGTTTTTATGACAGTGCTATATCACATAGGTGGTTAAGAGGCTGCGAAGAAGCCGCGGAAGATGAATTGAAAGAACTCATTGCTGCTGAAAAGGAACGAATAAAAGCTAAAAAGTCTGCACCTCAACAAAAAGCTAATTTGAGGGTGTTATTTAAAATTATTTTTTCCCGAGAATTTTCTAAACCTATTTTATTATGCATGCTATTGATTGTTTTATATTGTCTCTCAGGGAAAATAGTTTGTGCTGTTTACGCCATTGACATAATAAAAAGTATCACAAATAGTGAAGACTCGGCATACATAGGAATGTTAAGTTTAGATGGGATTACCATTTTTAGCTTGTATTTGGGAAGTGGTTTGTCAAAAGTATTGAAGAGGAGAACAATTCTATTGAGTTCCTCATTATCTGCTGTTATTTTTTTACTTACGTTATCAACTTACTTATACATAGTAAGCAAGGGTCTGTTGCTTGAAAATAAATACATTTCCCTATTTTTATTGTCATTATATACTATATCAATTAGCACTGGACCTTTAGTTATGTGTACCACAATTTACGGAGAGCTGATTTCGTTGAAATACCGATGCTCTTCAATGATTATGATAAGTATATTTGGAAACATTTTCATGGCAACGTTGCTGAAACTGGGTCCTTTTGTTTTCAAAACATTCCATATACACGGAACATTTCTGTTTTATGGAGTATCTAGTTTTCTTTGTATAATTCTCTTATATAAATATTTACCTGAGACAAAGGATCGAACCCTACAAGAAATACAGGACTGCTTATGCGGTAAAATCAAGAAAATAGAAGAAACCAGGGTGTTAATTTGAAAAAAAAAAAAAAAAGCCATATTTTGACTCATTACGACGTCACATTGCCATGATTTTAGACCACCCTAACTTGGTTAGGATTACATCTAATTCAATAAAGTATTTTTCCCTGTTTTTTTCTGCGGTTCATGATCAACTAATTACTTATTCGGTAATACATCTCTAGTTAGCGGGTGATTTACTTTGCACTAGAATGGATAGTATCGATAACTTATGTAATTATCTAAATTGTTTAAAGTGACGTGACAAATAGCAGTGTCATTACATTCTCTCGCACACTGAGGGTGTACGGTAGCTAGTAGTAGCCAGTTTTAAGTAAATGTAAATATGCAATATCTAATACACATCAATATCTAAGTGTTTTTTTTTATTTTGTATTGTTATGATTATTGATGTATTTGTAACTGAACCATTAATATGTCAATTATTTAATTCAATAAATTTTGTTTTCGGTATTTTGTTTTCAGTTAAAGTTTATTGGTGTCTTAATTAAATATACAAAACATGTCACGTTACTGTGTCAATTTTAATTCTTAGTTGTAATTTTAATTTTTAGTGTCATGTTATTTTTGTTTTATTATTATTCAATTATAAGCTTATGGTTATTGTTATGGAAATATTTTTTAGATTTTATGTGATTGTTGAATAAGATACTTAGCTTTTTTTTTTGGTGTTTGTGGTGTTCGTCTATAAATTTTCGTCACGTAATTATGTAATTATCTTTGATTTAAGTTTCATCTTTTTAATGTTTTATGTTATAACGTGCGTTATGTTGGTGAAACTGTTAAATAAATATTTTTTGTAATATTTATTGAAAGGTTTTAGTTAGACGTGTGTTACAAAAGGAGTACTTAAATTATTACTTTAATTTTTACTTTAATTTTACTTTATAAGACGTTACCAAAACCTATCTGGACTATTTGACGTCAATAACCCATTACATCAAAATTATTGTATTGCCATCAGAGCTGAATACGTATACAATGTTGAGGGTTCCGTACCCAAAGGGTATAAGGGGACCTTACTAAGGCTCCGATGTCTGTCTGTCTGTCCATCCGTCTGTCACCAGGCTGTATCTCATGAACCGTGACAGTTAGACAGTTGAAATTTTGACAGATGGTATATTTCTGTTGCGGCTATAACAGAAAATACAAAATAACAGAGTGAATAAAGAAAATTAATTGGGGCTCCCATACAATAGACATTAATTTTTTGGCATTTTTATAGATAATCGTACCTTGAACCCTTCGTGCGTGGCTCCGACTCGCACTTGGCCGTTTTCTCTAATATGTCGGACAGTTATACTTGTACACCAAACACTCACCCATACCTTTTTCTAAATCTTTAAGAATTTTGCCAGTTCTTTTGGGCTCAACCACAGTGATGAGCAATATCGATTGTAGATTCAACGATGGTGACGATGACATTAAATAACACCTTCAATCACTCTCTAGGCGTGTGAGAAAACTTATCTTCACAATGGAGACGTTAAAAGACTACTCCTCAATTGAAACTCTTCGCAGAGTTTTCTCGCTCTATGTCAATCAGTTTTACAGTATGGAATTTCAACACGCGGAGGGAAACTAGGAAATGTTTATTCCCGGCAGTTGAAAGAGCTCAACGTGCCGTAATAAAGGTATAAAAACCTTTTGCGATTTTCTACAGACGCACTGCACAAGGAATTTCCCGTTTTTAGAGTACGGCAGCTATATATTTTTAAAGCTCCCATTCACGTGCTTAAAAATCTCAAACGCAGGTCCAACTAAGGTCGATTTGATAAAAAATAAATAATATTGACATCGCATCTTTACAATTCAGTTATAAAAAATGTGATACTAAAAGATACTTCCTGTTTTAGACGCACGCGCAAGCGCACACAAATTTTTCACAAAACCAAAGCCAAAGCGCCACCGGGTCAGCTTCCACTTTGAATTATTATTTATTTGTTACTTATATAAATTTCTATAAGTTATCTATTAAGATAATGTACCATTAGTAAAAAAAAAAACAAGATTTTCTGTGTCAACTGATACCTATTGTTGAAGTATTTATGTAAGATATTGGTTTCAGTTTTGTTCTTCAAATATTAAAAATAATTACTTATCCTTATTTGTTTCAATTTTGAATAATAATAACCTATAATTTTTAAAAACGTAATATTTAATTATTTTTTCAAAGTTTTTAATTATAGGTAATCCTTACAATACCTAAACAGTTGTTCGTGACTTTAAAAAGGTCCTGTAGTAGTACTCCTATCGCCGTTGAACCGGCTTTCTAAATTAATTGTTACCAAAAAAACAAAGGTGATAAATGTAATTTTTTTTAAAATTTTAAAATGTTTATTCGTTATTCATACCAACCAATTGTGCTACTATTTAGAAAACAAGTTGCCCATCTCCGTCGCAGTAATCTAGTTGTAGTATGACTATTAATTTAATGTAGAAAAATGTATTTCGGTGGAAAAACGAAATAAAAAGTTCAATGGCATTTAATTGTTAAACGTTTAATAACCAAAGAAAATTTTAAAGAAATTGCACAAAATTTTTACCAAAGAAAAAAGTAAGATATATTTTTGTTTCATTTTGGTATGGTATTTTTTATTACATAACACAGAAAAATGTACAATAATGCAGTGATACAGAAATGATTGAAGCATACGTATTTATTGACTGACTTTTCGACGATTGTTTTTCTATAATCTGGCTTAGATTTCGATCAAAATTAGCTTTACAGTCATTTTTTAAACTAATATATGTTAATTTTTTCACAGATTTTAATTTCAAGCGCCATTTGGGCACACTTTTTTTTACAAGGGTTGTGTTGTTGTGGCTCCCCCATAGTCATTATCCCTCAAATACGCCGTGAGGCTAATTCTACCACTATCATAAGCGAAGAAATGGCATCATGGTTCTGTTAGTGCTCTTCATTAGTCTATTTAATTGACATAGCGAATGTTGTAAATAGTTCAGAAAATTAGTTTCTAAAAACGCTGCCTACTTTTTGCGATTATGTGTGTAATTTTTCTTTTATTTTCTGTTACGTATACTTTATTTTCTGTATAACAGCATCATCATACGGTTATAGTGAAGCAGTACAAGTAATTATTATGGCAATACTACCAAGATTTATTGGAAGAAAATTTTGCTTCACGATTGTTTCCTTATTACCATTGTGTGGATTTGTTCTTTTCTATTTAAGTAAGACAATAACAGATTTGCTTATAAGTGCAATAATTCATGGCTTCATTTCCGCAATTAATATTAGAATCAATATTTTGATTACAACAGAATATTCGTCACCACAGTATCGTGGGGTGTTTTTGACCGCTAAATCTGCTTAATTTCTTTGGGGAATTTGGGTATCAAACGCTATTGGGACTTTTTTCCATTGGAAGTACATTGCTGTAATTGGATTCATTATAACTACATATACCTTGATCACAGTCACAGTGTGGCCAGAATCACCACTATGGCTAGCAAACAAAGGACGGTTCGATGAATGTGCAGAAGCACACCGTTGGTTAAAGGGCGGTGATTCGGCATCAGAATTCGATTTAAATGACATCGTAATATATTATAGAAACTTACAATATTCAGATTTTGAGAAAAGAAATATGAATTTAAGAAAATATTTTAAAATCTTTTAAAGCCTTTTTCGATTGCACTTTTAGTGGGCTTTCTATATGATTCCCTGGGTAAAATGACGTGTACTGTATATGCATTAGATATCTTTACAAAATCTCAAATTTGGAAGCAGCAGCATACGATGGCTTGCTCATTCTAGATGGTGTAACTATAAATGGAGCTTACATAGGTAGTGTTGTATCTAAATATGTGAAAAGACGTTCATTTCTTTTATTTTCTTCTACTGTAGGTATCATGTTCCTTTACAGTATATAATTTTTTATGTATCAGTATTATAGTATGTAATTTTTTATGTATCAGTATTACAGTATGTAATTTTTTATGTATCTTGTAATTTTTTATGTATAATGTAATTGGGTATAACATGCATCTTTTCTTTGGATTATTATCATTGTATTCATTAGCTGTTAGCAGCGGGCCTTTAATAATGATTTCATCTATAATAAGCGAGGTCATTCCATTAACTCACAGAAATATGTTTACGGTGATTATTGGAATGTCCAGAAATTTATCATCGGCAACAAGTTTAAAAATAGCGCCATTTTTGTTTATATCTTTCGGTTTTGCTGGTTTATTTTTAATTTACGCTACTATTTCAACGTAATTATAATTTTACTAAACATTTATTTACCAGAAACAAAGGACAAAACTCTGTTAGAAATCCAAAATTTAATAAATGTTAAGAAATAAATGTTTTAACTGTCAGAAATAAATGTACAACAGCGAGAAATGTGAAGTAATTACGATATAATAAGGG